GGCACACAATTATCAGAACAAGGGTGAGAGAAAGTACAGCTGAACCTACCAGTGTAACACTCATTGTGTAATCAGTATGAAAAAAAAAACACCCCTAAGTCTTATTTCCTTGAAGATTTGCTTTAGGAAAAAAGGAGTCTCCCTGCTTAAAGGGTCCCCTGTACCTTTTATGTGGAGTGTGATTGGGCAACTTTTTTCTTGAAAATCATGATTTGAATTTTTCTTTATTTGAGAATCCTGTTTATAGATAAGATCTTTTAAAGTCCATGTGAACTAGGTTTTTCAATTCAAATGTGACTCATGAAAGAAGATCTGAATTAAACATGATTTGAGAACCATTTTGTTTCGTGTGATGCATTCTGGCTTTCTACAGTTTTGAAAGTGTATGTAATGTTCTTGAACAGTTGTGGTTAGGATTTTGATAGAACATGGACTTCATATGGATTGACAAAAGTTATAAAACAGACCCCAAACGGTACTTGAATAAATAAGAAAAGACATTACAACATCTTTTGTCACTGAAGACTGATCAAGACTAGAAAAAGTGAAGATGTTCATTCATGACCTTGGTTTTTTAATTTTCTGTGGAACGAGATGGTCTCAAACTTTGTAAACATGAAAGAATTTTGGACATTTTTCGTGATCCGTGAAAAGGCCAAATATTTTTATGTGACGGAGTTTTATAAAGGGGTATGGGAGACCCTATGCTTGTAAGAACAAGACAACACAAAAAAGTACATAAATTCTATTTCACTTGAAAAGGATACTTGGTGAAGTCCCATTTTCTTAAAACTCTTGCAGGGATCACTTCCAATACATTATTATGACAAGTACTGCAAAAATATTTTCCCAAGTAGTTGCAGTACCGAAATCGCTTCATGTAATCTGAAGGGAAAACACTGCTCATTTAAAATACAGAATTCAATAGGCCCAAAATACTGATAAGTAACACGATCTCTACAAACAAATACTGATAAGTAACAAGATCTCTACAAACAAAGACTTTGTGTTCACTGCAGGGACCTGAGGTATAATTATGCTACTTCCTTTTATTAGAAAAACAAATTGTTTCTGTCTCAAAATTGTTTTCCAATGGAGACCGTATGTTCTTCAGCAAAGTCAAGGACCGAAGTACATTGCAAAACCCCAACAGAAAAAAACAGAAAAATGTTATACCAAACGTAGGAAACCAGTATCTGAAAACAGCCTTGGGACAAGCACTGGTGATTTAACAAATTAAATTTAATAGGGGGATCTGTAGTATTTTGAAAGTTTCTCTGTGACCACCCTGAAATTTCACCGGGAGAAATTAAAGAGGAGGCTGAAAAAATAAAAATACATGTATAAACAGCAAAATAAGAGTTGGACTTCTTCTGATAATTTTCTTCATCTTCATGATTCTTATTGAGAACAGTCCTGTCCATTGTATCTGGTCACATGAGGTTGGGTGTCCAACTCTACTCAACAATGAGAACAATAATGTCAAGTTACAGCCAACTGAAGTTTGCCAACTATGGAACAAGATTCTGGTGAGGGCCTTGAAGAAACAAATGGAGAGATCTGAGATATGAGGATAAGATTTTTTCTGTACAAGTTGAAAAGGACTTGAGGCTTTTTAACAACTTGCCTGGAGAGACTGCCATACCACAACCTGCACATCTGAAGTTTTGTTGTCTCATACTTTCTTTTCTCCTAATTTGGGAAAAAATTGGTTGTACATCTATCAATCATAATAATCAGCACTTACCACCCAACCAATCAATACATTTTTGTGTAATTAATATATACTTTTTGTAAAACAGCACGAAGCACTGATCCATTAAGCTTTAAGACCATAAATCCACAGTACAAGTGTAATTAAGAATTTCTCTTTCTTTGGTCCAAAGAGCCCCTTTCTTTAACTATTTTCAGATTTGACTTAAAGAGTGTTGATTTCTTTTGACTTCCTTCGAAATTGACAAAAGCAGAAAATTTGCCTATGAAGCATGCTGCAGCAACCATTGAAGTTGGAATTTGGTTCCTTTTTTAACAACCTTATCAACAAGCAAAATTCTGTAATTACATATTCTTTCTTTCATTTAACAATTGGTTTATGCTTTAGCATGCACTATCAAGTTATGGAGCAGCAGACAACATATTCAAACACAGTTTTCCTGGGGTTTTGCTAATTACTTCCTTATTTTCTTCAATTTCTCTACATTAAGCTCTTTATATATGTAACTTTTCTTTTCCTGCTCCCAACTCATGACAATCTTATTGGATTCTTTACTTTTCAAATGGAAAGCTTTTCCCAGCCATAATTGATTTTTGCTTGAACAACTAATTGCTTGAAATACTAATTAAAGAAATATTGCACTGAGACTGCTAGCAAGTTCAACATTATGCAACTTGCTCACAACAAATAAAGATCATTATCAGTAATCTGATTTACTCTCTCAGAGATAAGCCAAAGTTTCTAGTTTCTAAATAAATGATTCTATTAAACAAAAAAAAAAACACCCTTACTTTTTAGCCTTACGGCACGTTTGAATAAAGGACTTGAAAAAGTGAAGTCGTCTACGGATGTCCTGA